TTACTAATTATAATCCAAGTTATTGTCTTCAGTCCTCCGAAGATGTTATTGTCCAACCCTACAGAGAAAGGCAAAAGGATCACTTATTAATAAACACAAAAAGGCTAAAATAGTGTTTACACTCTGAAAGACCCTTTATCCACCACTCCCTCAACCCTCGAAATAAATAATAATAACAAAGAAATTCAAAATATGAACAATGATGCCCCAACAGTTTTAATGACAGGGTCACCATTTTGTTTGCAAATCATAACTTCCAGGGCACAAGTTAAATCTTAAAATGTATATTTTCCAACATTTCAAAACCCCAATATTTAGTTAATTTAAAAGTGAGAAAAGCAGCGAAATATTAATAATGTTGTTTGAATTACTGTATAAGTAAATTCAATTATTATTTAATTGATTCAAATCGATCAGAATTGATTATTTACCCAATTATATATTACAGTGGTATGTTTGAGACTCCAGAATTTGTCTTGGATTTATCAATGTACAAATTATAGGTTTTAACCTGGTAGAAACAGAAAGAAAAATCCATAATTGGCAAGGACGTTGATGGCCAGTTTGTGATGTATATGAATGTGTGTACCTCTATTTGTATGTTGTACACAGGGCAGAGTGAACACACACCATGTGGTGGTTCCAGCAGGGTCTGTGCTTCCTGCCCGCGGCGCTGGTCATCTGGACGGCGGCGTCCTTTGTCTTCGCTTACATCACAGCCGTGGTGCTGAAACATGTGGATCCTCTGGTGCCTTACATCAGGTCTGAGTCCACACACACACACACACACACACACACACACACACACACACACACACACACACACACACACACACACACACACACACACACACACACACTCTTTGTTGCACTCAGAACAGGGGGTCTGCACAGTCAGTGTATGAAAGTAGATATGGTGCAAAATGCGAGAGCGTGTAAAACCTGATGTGAGCACTTGCAGAAAAAAAATCTGAGCTTGTGTGCATACATTTACACTTGTATAAAATATCCACGTAACTGTGAACCAAATGTACACTTGTATAAAATATCCACGTAACTGAACCAAATTGGAAGTCACAGAGAAAAAAAAAGTTTTGTAGCTTGTAGGAAAAAAATGAACTTATTGATGAAATGTTCACTTGCAGAAAAATACATATTTTGAAATATATTTTTCATTACAACTGCAACTTGGTTATTACAACCTCTCAAATCGTCATTACAACTTGACGAATCTGCTCTGTGGCAGTATAAATCGACGATTCTGCGGTCTTGACTTTTGCTACACTTCTTGCGATAAATGTGTCGCAAAAGTAATTTTCAGCTGTAGATGGGGGGGGAGGGAGGGGGGTTGGAGCGAAGGGGCGGAGCTATCAGAACGACGAGGCTTGACTGCGGGGCTAACGGTTCGTGTCGCTACCAGTCCGCTGATATGGCGCGTCAATCAACGGTAAGTTTTGCCCATTACTTGCCCAGTATTACTTTGAATATTATTATTGTGATTGAGGATTAAATCCGCTTTGAAGACCACCGTTTTATATNAACAAATGATTTAAAATGGAAGATGGAACACAAACGGACGGCTATTTCACCTCATCGGTTTATAGAGCTCCTGTTCGTTCAGGTTTTCAATGGACGAGTGTGAAAATGGAAAGAAAAACGCTATTTGTTGTTTGTTTATATCACGGAGTCTGTTCTTCTTTTCTGTCTTCCGGTTGTTCCGGTTGTTGCCTCTTTTGAATGATGAATACACACTACGCCGCCTGGCTGGTAAGGGAGATGTTGTTGCCACTCACGCATACGCGCAGTTCATCACGTGCTGCGGCTCGGATTTGCGGTGTGTTCAGTGGCGCGAAGCAGGCAATACGGCAGGAGAGTCCCGGCGATCGCAACAGTCGGTGTCGCCTCCGGGCGACTTTCAGGTGAGCTGGCCGGTGTATGCTGGGCCCCCGTTTAAGTCAATGCAGAGACAGCGATCAGACGCGAATTCGCTCCGGACGGCGAGCATGAAGCGTTGGACGGCGGCACCGAATCACGGCTGACTTGAGGGCGATTGAAGGAGGTCCGGCCGTCAAAACGGCGAGAGTTCAATTGGTTCAACGCTCCGAACGTCATAATTCACCGTGACGGCGTTTCTGCCGCGGAAGCCAATCAGAGGTGAGGATCCAGGCCTGCCGTCATCGACGTTCAGCAGAAGCATCAGCCATTAGCTGTTATGCCAGTTAGCACACAGAGATCACAGCTCCTCATATCTGTTCAGAAACTGTAGGCAGAAGTTAAACAAGTAGCAAACCACAGGACTGTGCGTGTCATGGCCGATACAGTCGCTGGTTTATTTATGTCTGTAGGGGCCGTTGTTTATCAGTCGTGGATGTAAGGCATATACAACGTTACGCTTGAGCTGGGTCGAGCCCACATCTCCATTAGAAAAAGCAAAGGGCATTTTAAAAAGGTTTTTCGGCCTGCCGTCTGCTGCAGATTGTCAGCATTAATTCATGGTTTTTACTAACCGGTATCAGTATGTTGTTATCGTCGGCATGCATTTAGAAACGTGTAATTAGCAAATTTAATGCACGGTCAAATATGTTCATTTTGTTGTGGTTGCAAAGTAGCTGCCCGAGCCAGTGCGTCTTGTTTGAAATGATGCGAGTAAACCAGAAGCTGGCAACCGCGGTGAAACTCGAGCGACTAGAGCGATGTGATTGGAGTCGCTTTAGAGGGCGCGCCCGGGCGAAGCGAATATTCGGGCATCGGCGTCGCAGTGTCGAACGCAGGCATTAAAGAGTGTGGGGTAGGTAACGTTTCAAGAAACCAGTCTCCGAGATAACACTTTTTGTTTATATTCGCAATCGGAAATCGCTCTTAAACATCGCGCGATAGCCAATGAATAACTTTAAGTGCTTGACAAAAAATCCATAAAAAAAATGTCACTGTGGGAACCTGTGAATATGTAAAAAACTACAACGCAATCGTTTAGGCCCGGCGATTGGCCGCCCTGTCTGTCAGCCCTTACCATACTCGTGCACGCACAAATCGTATCGTCCGTGCCCTCAATTGGCGTGCGTCATTGGGGCGTGCATTGCAGCAGTAACTTCAATGACTCACCACTCGGCCAGCAACAGGCGGCCCACTTTCAGCTTGGCAGAGTTACGGTCAACATCGTCTTAATGTCGCAAAAGAAAAAATGTAAGCGCGAGGGCAAATTAATGAAGCAAAAGAAAGTGGAAACTATTGGAGAAGCTCAAAACGCAGAGTCAATAGTCGGGAGTTGCTTGGCTGTGTAGTATTGCTAACCTAGAGGTGTTTAGCCTTGCCTAATATGTAAGCGTGTACTGGCAGCTTGCTCTCCGCGGAAGGAGGCTGCTCTCGCTCACCGAAGCTCTGAAGGTGAAGGTGGGAATTCTTTTTGGCTGCGTACTTTCAAAAACTTCTTCACTGCCGCTCGCACGCCGATTTCCTCGCACACTTACCTACCCCCCCCACTCTCTCACACGCGCTGCACCTCATCTCGCATCGCGCAACTCTTTGCTCCTCTCTCTTCATAACTGAATACTTGTCCCCGCCTGTTCCAGGAAACCTCACCAAAGTGTCAGAAAACACAAATCCTCCGTCTATTCTTCCTCCATACGCCAAACCTCTTAAAAAGGGGCCCCCTGCAACGGATCTGATACAGACTGATCGCAGATTTTGAATCCTTCTATGAACGTCAGCAGAAGTCTGCGCTACGGCAATTGGGCCAACTCCACCATCAGCGAGGGGGGACCAGCCACGGAGCATTGCGTTCGAAAGCACTGGAGACCGCTGTAGTGTACATATGCCCAGGCCTGTAGATGGTGGGGCTGTTCTCTCAGAATCAGCCCATGAAAAGACAAGTGGTTAAA